TCTCTGCTCTCTCCTCCCTCGCAGGGCACCAGCAACAAGTGGCTGCGTGTCATCCCCCGTACGCGCTTCGGGGCCTTTGCGCGGGGAGCCAAAGTGGTGCTGTTCACGCGGCGCAGCGGGGCCCACCTGCGCATCATCGACGGTGGTTCCGGCTATCTCTGTGAGATGGAGCCCGTGGCGCATTTCGGACTGGGTGAGCCAGGGCATCAAGGGGCTGCCTCCACCCCCAGCCTCCCYTGGCATTCCCCTGGACAGGGGCCATGTCTGTTACCCTGGTGTCAGTAGTCATCCATGCTGTCCCCCTGGGTGTGGTGGGCTCTGTGTGAGCCTGTGGGCAGGGTGCCCAGCCACTGCAGCTGTGCTGCAAAGGCAGCTGCCCTTTCCCCATCCCCTGCCTGCTGCTTTGCCCAGGGTCTAGGGCTTTCCCTGCCCTTTAACCCTCTCTTGGCGCAGCATGTCCAGCAGCCAAGCCTTCAGGGTGTCCCTGCCCACTGGCACGTCACCCCATTGTCCCATGCACACCCCTCAGAACACATCCTTGAGTGTGGGCTGTCAGCAYGAGCACCTGGGCTTAGGGAGCAAGGGGAGGCTTTGCTCCTCCCATCCCTACCACCCCGCTGGCCTCCTTTCAGCCCCTGCCCACCCCGGAGACCCTCCCTTTGATGGGCTGCCCGCCTGCAGGGCATGACGAAGCCAGCAGCCTGGAGGTGACTTGGCCGGACGGCCGCGTGGTGTCACGAGCTGTGGCGAGCAGTGAGACCAACTCTGTCCTGGAGATCCCCTACCCTCTGGATGTGGAGGAGCCACTCATGCCTGCCCCGCTGGAGGTGAGGGCTAGGTGTGAGTGTAAGGCACAAAACTTTGGGGCAGGAACGAGGGGCTGGGCTCTGCTGGCTCARTGGCTGCCCAGGGCTGATTCCTCCTCACCCCGGTGGTCTCTGCTTCTCCCCCTGTGCAGTGCGGGCAGGGATTCTCCCAGCACGAGAATGGACGCTGTGTAGGTGAGTGGCTGCTGGGGGCACAGGTGTGCCTGKACCCAGGATGCTGTAGCAGTCCCGTGGGGGACACTCTGACACTGGGCGGTGGCTGCCTGCCACATGGCTCAGTGCCAGRTACAGCTGCCTGCCTGGCATGTGGCCTGGGAATGGGACAGCAGAACAGCTCCAGAGGGACACCATGGTGTCACAGGGGGCAGTGAGAGCACTGTGCAGGGGCAGGAGAGGTGGCTGGCGTGTGGCAGGCATTGTGCTGGAGCCATGAGTGATGGAGGGGTAGCAGGGATGCAGCAGGGTGGCTGTGGCCATGCTGAGAGCCTCCTGGGCAGAGGCACAGCCTATGCATGGCTACCACTGGGGCGGCCATCCAGTGTGTATTGGGGGAACCAGAGCTGCTGGCGGCCCCAAGCCCTGTGCCCAGCCATCTCACACTGGGGACTCTCCTGCAGACACAAATGAGTGCACTGAGTTCCCCTTCATCTGTCCCCGGGACAAGCCTGTCTGCATCAACACCTATGGCGGGTACCGCTGTCGCACCAACAAGCGCTGCAGCCGGGGCTTTGAGCCAAACGAGGATGGCACAGCTTGTGTGGGTGAGTGATAGCTGGGACACCCTGACCCCATGCCAGCTGTCATCAGCCCCAAAACACCACCCTGACACCAAAGCACACCTGACAAAGTCCAGGCCGCATCCTGCAACCCATAGGGAGGCAGCCCAGCCACCTCCACCCTGGTCTGTGTCTGTGTGTAGTGTGCCTCACATTGAGCTGCCATTGACTCTCCTCTTTCTGTTTTTCTCTCTTGCTCCTTTTCTCCTTTTCTGTGCAGCTCAAGTGGCCTTTTTTGGGGGATATCCCTCTGCTGGGAGCTGGCCTGGGCTCTCCCACAGTGCCCTCCTCCCTCTAGTCCTYGGACTCAGCCTTTGCCTCTATGCACTTTAACCCCTGCCCGTAACGTGCCAGAGCAGCCTTGGTGGAAGGATGGGCTGGCCTCTGCCTGTCTCTCTTTTTCTCTCTCTGTCCATGTCGAGCCACCCTGGAAGTGCTGGCTGGGACCTACCACGGCGACCTGCAGSGGGACAGGCACAGACCTGGCTGTCCTGTGCACCGTGTCTGGGAAAGCAGCCCTGGGGCAGCCCGGCAGCGCCCCTTCCCCAGCATCCCCCTGCCCCAGCGCTGTTCCTGCCMTGCTGGCAYCTCCCCGGTGGTCRCTTGCTCCGTCGCCTCRATACCGTACCATGTGCCTGCTGGTTTGGCCTGCGACGTGTGTGCTTTGCCTGCCCCCTCCTCGGTGATGGGGACCGCCTCCCCAGCCCTGGCAGAGGAGGGTCTCCACAGCCCTGCAGGGGCAGGACCCTCCTGGTCTGTTTTTTAATGTATTGACCCTACTGTTTGGAGTCGGACCCTGCTTAGTCCCAACAGTCTTCCAGCCCCTCTCCCAGAGAATCCCCAATAAACTATATCCCATCTATTACCCTGGTCTGCTGAGCTCTGCAGGGCAGGGCTATGCTTGTGCTTCTGCGCACCCTGCCTTGAGGCTGCACATGGAGGGATTCCAAGATGGGGAGCACCCCCAGCATGTCCCAGCTCTTCTCCTGCTGGGGCCGGGAGCTGGCTGGAGGGTGATGGTGGCCCTGGACAACTCTGCACTGGGGCCACAGCCAAATGTGCAGCTCTGCGGGGGCTGGGGGGCAGCAAGCAGCCCTATCTGCACCCCAACAGCAGGGCTGTGCTGCTTTTCCCCCCTGCATGCTGTAACCCCACACTGCTCTCTTCCCCACCACCAGACATCGACGAGTGTGCTCAGGGCTTACACAACTGCAGCCAGCTCTGCATCAACACCCCTGGGGCCCACACCTGCCGCTGCCACCCAGGCTTCCGTCCCCTTGATCCGGCTGCCAGCCGGTGCCTGGGTGAGTACCTGCAGTGCCCAGCCAGGCTGCCCTGGCAGGGATGCTCAGGGGGGCCARTTGTGCTCACAGCCCTGGTGCTGGGGGTAGGATGGACAGACTGGGACTGTGCAGGAGWTGGTGGAGTAAGGAGACATCTGTCACCCAAGAGTCTTAGGACCAAGCAGTGGCAGCATCACCTGCCTTCATGTCCCAGCTTCACCCAGCCCTGGAGCTGCCCCCCTCCATCCCTTGCCCTGCCCATGCCAGACAAACCCTGTAGCCTTGGCACAGCTCTGACCTTTTCCCCTTCTTTCCCAGACATCGATGAGTGCCAGGCACAGCCTCGCCCCTGTGACCATATCTGCCACAACAGCCACGGCTCCTTCCACTGYCACTGTCACCACGGCTTCTCCCTGGCTGCTGGTGGACGCTGCCAGCCCAATTAGCCTGCTCTGGCACAGCCAGATGTACCCTGCTACCCCCCAGCCCTGTGCCAGCTGAATAAATCCTTTCCTGCACCATATTCCTTGTGTGTCCCTGTCCCAGGGACACATGRCTGCTGCACAGGTCTGTTCCTACCYGCCTAGCCTGCCCCTTCCAGTCCATCCCCTCCCTYCCCCCATGCCCACCCTCCTGGTGCTCTGTGCAGCCCAGTGTAAAAGGGATCCCCAGCCTGGTTCTGTGCCCCCACAGTTATCCCATTCCCCTGTCCAACACAAGAAGATGCAGGGCAGGCAGTGGGGGAARAAGCGTGGGGTTTATTGAGGAAGGTCTCCATGCAGGGGGTGCTCCAGCAGGAGCATTGAGGCCAGGGCCACCCCACACACACACGTCATGACCGAGCCAAAGGGAGTCCCACAGGGCAGAGTCCTCCCTCCAGGTCCCCAGGAGAGAAATGCCAGCTCAGTTCAGCCCTGCACCCAGACGGGAATTCTTCTCCTCGGGGTGCTGGATGTCACAGGGACCCTCCTATTTCCCCCATCTGACCCTGGACTGTGAACCTCCACACCTTGCAGCCAGGCCCAGGTGTCCCTCGAGGTTCCCTCTTACAGGCCAGGCTGAGAATTGGGGGGCTGGTGGCAAATGCATGCAGGACACGTGGGCAGGAGTGGGGTCAGCAGTGTGAGAGGAAGGGTCCTTGTGGAGCTGCTCCACCGGGCACCCTCCCTGCATTGGGGCAGGTCATGGGGCACAGTGGGCAGGTGGCTGCTGGCAGCCAGGTACACACAAGCTGTGCCAGGACAGGGCAGGGAGCCTGCCTCAACCATGCCACAGCTCAGCCTCAGCTGTGCTGGGCCATGAATGAGCCCAGGGCACATGGCACAGGGGCAGCATCACGCCTGGCACTGCCCCCTCCCTGCCCTGGACACTGGGCTAGAGATTCCTGGATGAGCAGGGGAGGGCAGCAGGTCATGCAGGGAGCAGAAGCAAGTGCTCAGTATCATGGCAGAGCTGAAGGGTGCTGTGGGTGAGGATGCAGTGCCAGATGGGGGAGGGGGCCAAGGGAGCAGCAATGGGGCAGCGTGTGGGGCAGAGCTGGGGTGAGTGCATGGCCCGTCATGCAGAAGAAGCGTCACCAGTGCTCTGCCAGGCCTCCTGAACAGTGGACAAGCAGCAGCAGAGCCCACAGCACCAAGAGCAGGGTCCCCAAGGAGGAGGTGCAGCAAGAGCTGTCAGTGTCTGTGGGCGTGGGGCTAAGTGTGTCCCCTGATTAGCACTGCCTGGGGCTTTGCCAGTCCCACTGGTCCCCAGTGCCTGGCAGCAGGGACACTGCCAGCTGGGACTGCCCGTAGCAGGGCAAGTTCCTCTCACTGGGGCGGGGGCAGCAGCACCAAGCACATGGAGGGCTGTAGGAGCCCCTTGGCAACCGTTTGGCTCAGTGGGAAGCACCTGGGATGCCCTAGCACGAGTCCCTGCCCACAGTGGGTCCGAGCAGGGGCAGACCCACTGCGGGGGCACAGAGCAGATGGGGGTGGGCAGCCCCACCGGGTAGCCCCGGCCTCCCCCTCCTGCTCTCGCTGGGCTCAGAAGCGGGTGCTCTGGTAGTGCAGCCTGCGCAGATCGGAGCGGCCGCTGTCCCGGCAGTACGAGTCCCTGCAGGGACTCCCTGCCAGTCACCGGCCCCCCGCCCCACCGCCGCCCCCGCCGCTGCTGCTGCTGGAGCTGCCGCTGCTGGAGCTGCCGCTGCTGCACCGGTCCTCGTAGATGGAGATCTCGATCTGGGCCCTGCTAAGGATCGTCGGTGACATGTGCCAGCCCAATTGTTCCCCGGCGTGCCTGCACCCTTTGCCACCCCCCAGGCACCCCGCTGCCCAAAGGATACGACTCTCATGCCACGTTCCAGGGGGTCAGTGAGCAGCAGCCCCCGTGGTGCATAGATCTTCTCGTTCTGGTCCTGGATGTACTTGGAAATCTTCTTCAGGACCTGTCAGCACAGGGAGGGACACTCAGGGTCTGCCAGCATTGCTGTCTGCTCTGTCCTCCAGTCCCACATTCCCCGTGTCATCCCTGAGCCATCCCTGTGCCCACTGCCAGCTGTGCCCACCCCTGAGCCCTCCCTGCACCTCAGCACCTTCTCATAATGTGTCTCCATGCAGAGAAAGATGAAATAGGCAGTGGCACAGGCCAGGCACCCCTCGAGGTACGAGCTGCCCCCAATCTTCTCYGCCTCGGCGTAGAAGCCGTTCAGGGTTTTCACAGTTTCCTCAAAAAGTTGCCGCTCAATCTAGGACAGAAACCATGGTGAAGAGGAGTCTGGCCAGACTGACTGGGGTCCTTGGAGAGCACTTAACCCTCTCCTCCCTTCCCAGCTGATGTCTCAGCTTGCTGGCCCCTGCCCACCTCCCACGCATACCAAGACCTGCTGAGCCCACAGCCTTCCCCAGAGCCTCCCGGGCCCCAGGAGCGCCAAAGTCCCTGAACACCAGCCAGGGCAGCTGTGATTTCATGTGCCCAGCAGCACTGGCTGGCCCGGAGCCATACAACACCCCATGAMCCCCCACACCTTCACACCCCTCTCCCCTCTGAGCCCTCATAGGGCACTGCCAGAGGGCACCCCCACCCTGGCAACCTGTCAGACTCCCTACCCGGCTCTCCAGCTCAGGGGGAAACTTTGTCTGGAACTGGCATGTGGTCCCATCACTGTAATCCCGCTGCACGAAGACCTTGGTGGCCAGGGAAGCGCTGCGCCGCAGTTCCTGCAGGCTGTGCACCTGGGGRCAGAGGGTGAGATGGGTGGGATGCAGCCAGGGGTGCTGGGCATCCCTGCTGGAGAGCTGAGGGCCTGGGGAGCAGTGCTGTTCCCCCCGTGTCAAGGCTGCAGGCTCACACACCCTGGGGCAGGGAGCTCCTAGCACAGGCTGTGCCATGCCATGAGCACAGCTCGGCGCTGGAGGTGCGAGCCCAGGGGTGAGGGGAGGATGGTGGAGGGGAGGACGCTGTGACAGCCCCGTGCTCGGAGTGAGGGTGAGTGCATGGGCTCCCCACCCCGGGCTGGTCTCACCCCCGGCGGTTCCTGCAGGCATGAGCATGCGTCAGAAGAGACCCATGGCCCGGGAAGGGGACAGCCCCCGGTCCCCAACAGCGCCCCAGCACACAGCCAAACCAAAAGCTCACGGGGAGAGGATGGGAGTGAGCCGAGCAGGAGCAGGGACTGGGCAGCGGGGCTGTAACAGCGGCACAGCGGGTGAGCGGGCTGCAGTGGGGCATCTGCATGAAAAGGACCGGCAGCCCCGGGCGCAGGTGCTAAGCCCTGATCCCCACGGGCTGTGAAAGCCCGTGCCAGCCCCCGAGCTCCGGGTTGTGAGGCAGCTTTGGTGGCTGAAGAACGGGATGGAGGGGCCGGGTTGTGCCAAGGGCGGGCATCAGGCCCCTCCCTGCTCTTTCCCCGTGTGACATGGGGCTACTCCCCGCTCTGTGCCCCACAGACCGTCTGATGCTGTCCCGCGTCCGTCCCATGGCATCCAGAACAGGACCCCTCAGTCCCGCAGCCCAACCAGACCCTTCACCAAGGGCACCCTGCAACCACCTTGCATCCCCCACCCCTTCAGGCACCCTGCCGGCCTTTCTGTGCACACGGAGCCCTCGCAGCCCCCAGCCCCGCACTCCCCTCCACACGGACCCCAGCCCCACGCTGTCCTCCCGCCCCAGCGCACCCCAGGTGCACCCGGTCCCCGCCGCGCCCCGG